CTTGGATAGGCACAGCCACCAGCCTTGCCAGGTCTTGTGATCTGCCTCGCATAGGGTTTCATCCCAAATGACCGTTTTTCTACACAGGTCCTGCAGCAGAATCTTGCCCGGTAGTAGCCGCGGTCGCGACGAAGAAGCCCGCATTGACGAAGCCGGTTTTGTCGGCAGGCAAGAGTCCTGTGTCAGTTGGTGGAGCGAAGCCGTCGACGAAGGCACCTGTTGCTTCTAGTTCCGACTCCGATTCGAGTGATGACGAGGTTCCTGTTGTTTCGAAGAAGCCTGCAATTGTGAAACCGAGCACGCCGTCCTCGAAAGGTGTGATTGGCGGAGTTGTTGGTGTTTCGGCTTCCGGTGTTAAGTCTCAGGCGAAACGCGGTGCTCAGCCGTCCAGTTCGGATTCCGATTCCAGTGACGATGGTGTTTCCGCGGTCGCGACGAAGAAGCCCGCATCGTTGGTCACGGTACATGATTCCTCGTGTCCGAAGGCTTTTTTGATGCGGAGACGCTCAATGACCAGGGTTATGTTGCTTAGAATGGGTTTAAGCGGAAGAGCCGGTTATCCAGTGGTGATGATCTAGTCGCTTGTGGAAGGGTTCCATGCAGACGTCGTGCTTTCGCCCCGTTCCCTGCCGGTGTTGGTACTGGTGTTGAAAGACCGCCGTTAAAAAGGAATAAGGGCAATTCGGGTGATGGTCGCCGAAATTCCGTTCCATTCCGTGGTGTTACCGAAGATTCTGTGAGGTTGGATCCACGTCTGGCTGACAATTCTTTCGATGCCAAGCTAAAGGCGCAAGGTTCGTGAGGCGAACGTGACAATCGTGATTTCCGGTTTACTCAAGGAAAACTCGAAAAGACAAAGAAGAAACGTGGTGCCTATTCCGGCGGTTCTCTTTCTACTGATGTCTGTTCACACAAATCTGAGTACTGTACGTCAACCAATTCGCACTTGAATGACGCCTAGCCGAACCGATACGAATCCCGAAGTAAAAACACAATTGATTCGCAATGTTCTACGGTACTGAATTAACGAAAGCATTACAAAATGTACAATATAGCAATCCTCAAATATTCGGCCAAAGCACTCAAACAAGTGAGCCAAATAACATGTCCAGAGAGAGGCAAACAGTCGCTCACGTTCTCAAACCACGCCAAATTCAAATGTGCCGGGCATCCAAATTAACAGATAAATAATGATGTATGATGATTGTGATCGAGAAATGTCAATATAAGAGCAACACACAGATAAAATTATTTCACCATAAATCATTATGGGTTTGGAAGGATTTTCAAAAAATTCAGCGTGAAATTCAATGGGGAGCAGTGCTACGGCTGTACCAAGTCTGTGTTCCTAATATACAAACGTGTGCTATCTCACTCATTTCTAGAACAAACAGCGCCACCATAGCTGGTGTTTACAGGAGCCCGGGAGCCACCGTAAATGAAGATGACCAACTGATCAGGGCGCTAGATGCACTAGCACAGTCCCAAACGAAACTGGTGATTGCTGAGGACTTCAATCTACCTGGCATCCAGTTGACCTCAGAGACCTGCTCGGAGAGTACACCAGAAGAAAAGGTTTCTGGGATGGATACACTCCAGAGCCCTCTTGCAACGCGTGAAGGAAAACACCAGATTCAGGACTGGGCAGAATCCATTGCTCCTGGATTTGGTGTTTACTAGATAACAAATGGACGTAGAATATCTCTCGTTTCCCCCACCTATAGGAAAGAGTGATCACCTGGTGATAAAAGTGACCCTCGATTCAAGTTAATCCAAAGCGCCTAGTCAGAAAGTTAGGAAATTTAGCAACATGGACTTAAGCAGCCCGCAGGCATGAGCCTTAACCCTAGAATGGAGAGCAGAAAATGACCAGATCACAGTACAGGCCCTCTGCCATAGAATCAAAAGTAACCTACAAGAACTCCAAGACGACTTCGCACCCCTTAAAATTCGGAAAGGCTGTATTAAGCCTCCATGGTGGTCTCCAGCAACAAGGAGAGCATTAAAGAAAAGAAACAGAAGCTGGAAACACTATAGGGAGATCAGCATTCAGTTGGCGTGGACAAACTACACGGTCCAGAGGAATAAAGCAGTCAGTCTTATAAGATTAGAAAAGAGAAAATGTGAGAAAATTTTAGCTGAAAACGTCAAGCAGAAACCGAAAAGGTTTTCAGGTACGTTCAATCGAAGCGCTACTTGAGGGATGCCATAGGCGCATTGGTTCTGGAAAACAACATGATTGCGGCAGACGACCATAGCAAGGCAGAAGCACTGGGCAACTATTTCGCTAGTGTTCATAGTTTAGATAACAGGACACTAGAACCTAGATCTCCAAACTGTCTTCCACCGAGCATA